AATTATTATTTTATACATGAATGTTTCTGTTAATTATTATTTTATAGATGAATGTTTCTGTTAAATTATTATTTTATAGATGAATGTTTCTGTTAATTATTATTTTATACATGAATGTTTCTGTTAAATTATTATTTTATAGATGAATGTTTCTGATAAATTATTATTTTATAGATGAATGTTTCTGTTCAATTATTATTTTATAGATGAATGTTTCTGTTAATTATTATTTTATAGATGAATGTTTCTGTTCAGTGCCTGAGACGACTTCTGTTATTAATTTTACTGTAAGTGTCTGTGTGTAATAAAACTTTAAAGGAGGATTTTAGATCTACCACTAGAGGGACATCACCTACCACTGTTTCCACACACATTACAGAACCATGGCTCTGTTGAGGTCCACAGAACAAATGTTGTGCTAAATAATTTGCACATTTTTGTGAATGCTTGGATAAAAAAAACTATAAATAGAACCTTTACAAATCAATTCACAGTTAGTATAATAACTGCACCCCAGGAAGCAGAACACCAGCTTTTTGATCAATGAAATGCCTTTGTAAAAAATCATATTGAATACACATTGTAAATGTAACAGTTTACTAATGAAAACATGCCATTTTTTATTATTTACTTTTAAATACTTTCCAGTCTTCTGACTACTGAACGCTCAGCAAACGTGTGTAAACACAGTGAATAAATATAACAAGAGTAACTGCAAGAATAAAAATCATTGCTTATCTGGGTCTAAGCATCAAATTTATTCAACATCACAGAATATTTCCTCATTGCTTCACAGGCGTCATGACTGTTAATTACTGTGTGCCAGAACATCCCAGCATCTGTTGAGTGTTTATACCCGATTACTGAGCTGTCCATTAATCACATGTGTGTTTGCACAGCTGGACGTGGGGTTATTTGGTGAAAACTGTTTGGTTTGTAGGTGTGGTTGTTTGAAAAGCACTCGTATGAAATGGAAAAGAACTAGTGACGAGATCTTTCCGTCATCAGGACTTCAACGTATCAAGTATCTGCAGAAAGTGTGAGGCTGACACTGACGTCTACCACACTCACCATCACGTCAAAGACAAGTTTGTCTGCATTGCCCGTCCTCATGTGTTCGTCTCATGATGAACCCCTCAAAAAGACAGGAGACACACCTGAAGATGTGGAGGTTCTTCTTAGGAGAGACGAGGATGGAGACGATCAGGAATGAGATCATCAGAGGTACAGCACAGGTTGAACATCTGGAGATAAAGTTAGAGAGGACACTCTGAGATGGTTTGGACATGTCCAGAGGAGGGACAGTGGTTTGGACATGTCCAGAGGAGGGACAGTGATTTGGACATGTCCAGAGGAGGGACAGTGATTTGAACATGTCCAGAGGAGGGACAGTGATTTGGACATGTCCAGAGGAGGGA